GGGTCGTGGGCCTCGACGGATTTTCAGCAACCTTATGAGTAGTGCATTATAGATAGAGGTTTTTATTCTCCAACGAGGGATGGGACGTAAAAGAAGTTTGTGTCTCCAGTTGATCGAAAAGTGTGTAGGGTTTCGGAACTGCTGTCAGCTTGGTGAAACTTGGGGTGAAAAGTGCTCAACACCCGCCAAACCGTCTTCTAGTGCTCTTGCCATAACAGGTGGAATCGAGTAAACGGTGCACTGATAACAGATGTATATGAACTCGTGTCATCTCAGTTGCGCAAAGATTTCAGGGACTAAATAATCAGCGTGTGTTTGTAATAAAATGAATAATTCTCACGGAACCAAGGAGACGTCAGCAACAAGAAATCCGACATTAGAAGACCTCAGTGATAAGATCTACCCATCGTCGAGATTTTGCTCTTGTGGAACTCTGTCAGGTTGGATTGATTGGACTGGCCCTTTCGAGCTGTTGCAGATAAAAAGTTTAGTAATTTGGGTGCCATATTGACAGTGGTGCCCACGGTTTGAGGACAAGTAAGGCTTGTCATGAAGTCAATGAACGAACGGGGGTATTCGATGAGATGACAGCCGTGAGTAGACTATCATTTTCCCTGAAATTAACCACCCTCTCCTCCTCCAAAAGCCTCCCGCAAAGAAGTAAAAAAAATCCACCACCAAACGAACTACTCCAGGGGCAAAAAAGTAGTATGCCATGGGAGGCACAACACACTTGGTTAGAGAAAACTGAGACTCAGTTGACTGGTCTGTTAGCACCCATTCAGTTTGCATACGTGTGGCATAGTACTCCAAGTTTACGTGTTCTTGATCAAGAACCGGTGTGAATTTATAGGCTCACATTATTCCATCTTAATGTCAGCTCATGAGCGTCATCTGATAGTCCGGTCAGGCAGTCAGTTGGCGAGTGCCTTCCTAAATGTTGTGGCACTTCGGCGACAGATTGTGTGCCAACTCACCAAAAGCAAATATGGATGAGTACGACAACCAATCAGAGCGCGCACTTCATCCGTTGATTAGGGCTCAGTGAACAGTAGTCGCCGAAACCTGTTCCATTTGGACTAGCTGACTTTTAAGCCTGTTGAAATATCCTCAGTAAGGTAGCTCCGTTCTGAGGAATTGAGGAGTGAGTGAAACTGGGTCATCTGATGTTGAGTAGTGTTGACTAGTCTCCTCAGGTTCGAACGTTTTGGAACTATCGATGAATAGTACTAAAATCAATTCTTGGCAGTGTGAAGAGATGTGGAATTTTCAATTAAGGTCTCCCCCGTCAGTAATCAGCTGAAAAGTCGAGAAGCTCTGTTCCTTCCTTATTTGGGCATCATCAACAGTTCGCATCCCAGTTGGGAGTCTCGAACCGGCGACGTCCTGTCTAGTAATTTGAACAGGCCACAAGCGTCTGACCGGCAGTGTGGATGACTCGCACTTAGTGCCTAAAGGATTCGCGGCACCACACCCTGCCTTAGTGCGACTTAATCACACCGCTGAGCAGCCATTTATGGCCAAACGTCTAACTGCCCAAATTACTGGCCGGATTCCAGACTTCCTGGAATTTTGCGAGGTGCGTAGTGCTGACGACTCCCAATAAAGATGAAACAGCTGCGCAGTACTCCTCGGTTCCTCAGCACAGAGTGAAAATTCAATTGCTGCTCTCCACCTTTTGGTGTAGACCGTTTACGGGAATTTTCGGTTCATTTTAGATTGAATTTTACGAAATAATCGCTATGAGACTACTCAAACGGAAAGATCCGCCCTCGGGGAATTTCATCGCATTCCTGCAACAGAAAAACGAGGCAGCTAACCTGCAAACTATCCCCTGTGCAACGTTTANAGCTAACCTGAAACTATCCCCTGTGCAACGTTTACAACTGTTCAAAACTGTTGCATACCAGTTATAATTTTCAATTAACCAGTTAACCAATCAATCAGTCGGGCTTGAACTTACGCATCTTTTCCGTCAATGGAACACACATTTTCGTCGATCCTTTGGGAAAACGAGCACAATTCACAATATCAGGCCAACCGAAACCGAATTGCAACATTTTCGGTAGGCAACTCTGTCTCACATCGTCACATAAATCCTGACACGGTTCGATCAGCTTCTCTTGGTACTCTTGCAAACAAACAGGTGCGTAGAGTGCACACAAGAACCGTTTCAAATCCGGATGACATTCGGTGTGTACCAGACTGACCCAGACTTGAGATTGCTCGGTAGCCTCTTTGAGGTCTTCATGCTGCAGGTAATTGGGTAAAATCATATGATCATAGCCGACACGTTGACACAACGTCATATTTTTCGGGATCGGATGACATCTTTGGCTTGTGTGCCCGTGCAACAGGCGATGCCAGTCCGCGTAGTACGTACCCGGGTCTATTGCTGTCAGCACAGAAGGTATGGAACTGTCGAGTCGGGGCAAACTCGAATCCAATGGGACTCGGTTGAAAAGTACCGTGTCCGAAGGTGTGGACTCGGGTCCGAATTCCTGAGTCGGATAGCTGGGTAGCCATGGGCTGGGGCGAGTATGGGAGTAGACAAGGGGGTTCACAGGTTGTTTGTAATTGTAATGCCGTAGGTAGGGAAGCACGGCCCCCACGTGAGCTGTGTGGACAAAGATGATCAGCACAACCAGTGCCTCCGGATGATTCATGGTATTTCTCCAGCTGACTTTCAATTCCAACGGGGTCGCATGGCTCGGTAGGTGTGACCTTTGTTGTCAGGCCGATATCATGACTAGGTGAGTTTTGCAGGGCGATCCCTTGCGTTTTGTCGCGGTCAAGTTGATTATATAATACGGCCAATGGTCGTAATGACGCCCGAACAACGAACGGTACTACCTTGTGAGCGCACGTGGTGCGTACGTGCGTTCGTTCGTGTGGCATTGTTCTATCCCCTTGTCCCATGCCGCACACACACACGCGCACACGATGACGGAAAACAAAACAACCACATAGGCTTGTCAACCAATTTCATTAGTTAACTAAACTTGTTTTGTTCTTTGAGGGAACGACAAGGGTAGTGGCGGCACCGGTTTGTTACACGGTTGATTTAGCTGTATTTGTCATGGCAACTGCAAGCGAGTTCATGTAACAACCGGTTTCTCTCGGTTCATCGTAGGAAAACCGAGGTTGGGAATATTTGGGGTATGTGAGGTTGGACGTGCCAGAAAGGTATGCTAAAATCCATGGGCATTATCTGACATGGTCCGTCGATAACAAGTGTTCTCCCCGTCTTCCCATGCTGAAGATACGCCCAATCACGAGGGAAAAGCGCGCGCGTGCCGACGCGACGGCCTCATTCTACCCTTGTCTTGTGACAGGTTACAGGCATGGATTTGTCAGGTGAATACCAAGGAGACGTTAGTTTTTTCCACATACCTGGATAGCACTAGACACTGTGGCAGATTCAACGGTTGAAACAGCGATATGTGCAGTGGAAAGGTTGTGCGCGATGGTTTCCTTCCTCAACCGCACTAGGCCTCAAAAATACGTAACGTGCAAATACACATACAGGAAGGCAGTGGGGGGTGGGGACGCAGAACCAAAGTCATTTTCCCATCTCCTGAAGTGGACGTTGGAAAATTCTTGAAAAGTGGTGGTAACACCGTTTTAAACAACGCAGTGTTCATTCATGGCAAAGCTTTTTGTAATGCACCCTAGAGAGTGTACTTTTCCAAAGGCAACCGAGGTTTCCGATTCTATTAGGCTGCACACTAATGGAGAACCCGTTCCCCAAAAGGATTCTGTACATTTATTGAGGAAACTATTCACAATGTTGCTGGGAGCTCTTCGACAACCCACGACCGGTCTCACCCTTCTTGGGGCTCATCAGGTAGGCGCAGTCCCCGAGTTTCCGTCAACCTTATGATCTACTTGAACCCAAATTAAACTGTTTACTTGAAAACCAAACGGAGTTGCAAATGAGTGTATACCTCGAAAAGGATTCTCTACTGTTCTGATAATCATCGCTTGTGGTAGGGGATACAATACAAAGCTCAAATGAGATTGTCGCTCTATGGAAAGACCACATGGAAGAACAAAAGCAGACATTTCCGGGAAAGCTGTTTTTACTGAGGTCAATATATCTCAGCGAACCTACTGACCCAAAGGTCCATGGTTCAAACCCGACCACTCTGCACCTCGAATGCTCCTGTCTAAACGTGAGCAATCAGCCAGTATCTCGTGCTTCTTCCGAATGGCATGGCCGCTACACACCGAAAGGATGTTACAGATGAATGATCTAGCCATTGGAATAACGGAGTCTACGATGGAGTTATCGGACGTTTGAAGACGTTCAAGATCTTCAGATGGGATGGCTTCGTAGTAGCCCAATGCACGCGGCCCTCGGATACGTTTCTGATTCTAAGAATGGCGCAAGTCGGTCAACATTACTCCCGACTTGGTTTTTTCTCTCATGGCCCCCAAAATGAATAAACCGAGCGGAAATTCAAGCTATCCCAACCGAATTAGCACAGGAACAAAGACAAACCGTAAATTTCGGAGACAGAAGATGCGAAATGCGTTCACACAAATTCTGAGCAGTTTGGTAACGTTCAACTTAGAAACGGTATCATTTGCGTAATTCAAGTCCGTTCGTTTTTCTCCAAATGTGATTTTTATACCCAGATCCCTTGAAATGAACGTTACGTGACTACGTTCAACTGGAGACCGACCCATTGAACAGTTCTTCATAAACCCTCACACAACAAGTATTGGAATGCAGAACATCCAGTATAGTTACCAACTTCTGAGGGGAATTACTTCTTGGTGAAGTAAAGGTAGAAGCGTGGATCTATCTACATGGTTAAGCCCCCCCCCTCCCCCGAAGTCGACGAAAAGGATAGGTGTTGATCGGCGATGTGTGACGATGCTCAAGTAGCATGAAGATGTCGTCAATGCATCCAGGTGAAATCCAAAAATCCGGATGGGCGCATCAAACGTGCCGAGATCAAACAATGCAGTATCGTCGAGGTCCATGTTATGAAAGTTGTAAGTCTCATGCGTTGGAAACCAGGACAGTCGTTCCGCACACCTTTTTCAATAAGTCGTTCCGCTGTAGCACTCTTTCTGTGCCATCCGAAGGAAGCAAGAGGACTGAAGTATTCTCGGGTTGCCCAATACTGGACTGGAGCAATTGAGATTTCGGGGTTGGGTTCGAACGCCTTACCTTCCGGTTTGTAGGCTCACTCGTTGGCCAATCAGCCATATCGATGTTCATTTGAATTAAGATGCAACGATTGCTTGGTCCGCTTTAAACAATCTCGTCGATTCACTACCACTCGAAACAGTGCTGATGAGAAGGCATCTCACCCGAATTCCTGCGACGTTTCGAAGGAGAAAGAGCGTTGTGTAAGCCAAACATAAAACTGAAGACCGCAAAACGGCTTGAGTGAGTCTAGCCGAAGGCATACCCTCAAGGCCTGATGGCCAACTGAATTGTTGTCAATAACGCTCTCCTCATTGTCATCGAATTAATGGATGCGATAATGCTGTCCACCTGATTACTTCCCTGAATATTAGAAAAAAGAAGAACGATTGGAAGCGTCAGAAGTCGCGTGATTCTTGCTGATGTATGCACCGGTTGATATCACCACACGAGGATCGATCTGGCGGGAAAGTACTTCTTTCTCCATCATAACGGCATACGGGTTGATATGCTGTCAGGGGAGCCGGACCTGAACAGGTTATCTACCAAAGCCTTTGTCCCAAAAGCCCCGAACACAAAGTAGCAATGCCGTGTGTAAAACTACCAGAATAGTCTACATTTTGTCAGGCGACTGGCCAACGTTGATGTGCTTGTCAGACCAATGACCAACCTCCGGTACGACTGATTAGGTTGATCAAATACACAGTCCGACCAGGTTTAGACCCTTCGAGACAGTAAAACGTGTTTCGAGATCGAGTTCCATGTCTACGTACTTCGGGTGCTCATTATATACTCCGGCTTAAGTTGCGTTACACAACCCGGAAAATTCACCAAGTTCGTTCAACAATCAAACGCATATGTTGATGGACTTTCAATCGCCTGATCAGGCATAACAACTAGCGCGTTCAGTCCGGTACCTTTTGGGCGTGTCAAAGCAGGTGTACTAATAACTCCGGTCATTTGTTTGTTGTCGTCCCACGTGTGTCGGAAAACCACTGGCTCTTTTAAGTTTAGGCGTCGTCGATCAGGGGGGGCTTCCTGGGTTAATTTTGGTGCGATTATTCTGAGCTGATCATACACAGCCTCGAAATGCTGTTTGTTTGTTCGACGCAGAACTCGAGGCGATGTGGGAGAAACTCTCATCTGGACTCGCGAGAACTCCCAGTCATCGGTCATGATGAACACGGTTCGGTAATTCCTGGGAAAACGAAGCGTTTTGCCTTTATCTTTTTCGACAACATATTTAAGAGCGTTTTCACAGTTGATACGGGCCACCGACGACAGGCCTCCCATGACTGTGTCGAAACGCCTACGGGAAGAAATCAGCATGACGCCCAAATAGTCTATCTGGGTTGCGACTGTTTGCTATCCTTCGAGAAATCAGACGGAAAGCGATTATTACGTCCATGCGCTCCGTAAAACCCTACCGCTTTCATCCATCCTTGTATGAGGTATACAGACCACAACGCAGCAAAAATCACGGTCGGTCCTACAATAACACAACATAGGGTATATACCAACTAGCCAATCACATGAAAGGATGATAGATACTCTTCAAAAACCACATAAAGTCAGCTAGGCACGGAAGAAGAACCCATTCAACTGCGCACTGACGATGTCTCCTCGACCGGGGACGAAACGTTTGCAAGCCAGTTGCCAAGCTCGGCGAACAGATCAACTGCCACCTGATCAACCACCAGTAAACTTACAATTCACCAACTTTATGACGGTGTACAACGTCATGTAACTAGCTCGTTTATTTTTTTTGACCGTAACACCTTTTTTGGTGTTATGCCGCCTGAAGGAAGCATTACGGATGAGGCCTGGACGGAAGTAATCAGGATACCACGGGGGGTTCGAACTACGAACCTTCCAGCCACTAAGCTCATGGGATGAACAGAATGGAATGACTGTTTTGGCATGAAAGGGTGTTACAGCTAAACGATTTGTTTTGATTTTGTATTGCGATGGAGGGATTATATCCGACCAACAAACGAAAAATCCTGCTTTAAAACAGTTGAATTCTCCAAATTCATACACTCTGTGCAGCATACACGCTTCTGTCTGACAAATGACGATACAACAAATGTTTCACTTTGTGGTTAAATCCGTGGTCAATGAGGCGACGATCGTTCAACTGTGGCACCCTTTCGGTGCCTAACTGCCTTGCGGCCTATCGCAGGAGCGTCGCTGGTTATATGACATCGGTAAGGGGTTCGCATGCCTTCTACATCAAGGTCGTTCGACTTTGTATGTACGCACAGAACAAATGTGAAATCAGAGAAGACGGCAACCAACGGCAGGCAAACGCGGATTTTTCAATGGATATTTCGAGAGCCACTGTAGAGCTGTTCATCTTTCAGCACTACACCAGGGAGTTTCGAACCCATGATCTTCTGGTGACTGGTATGATTGGGTATGTCCTGTCTAAGTGAGAGGTAATCACACTACTGATCCGCCGCTCGTATCCGACCACTAACCGGAGTGTCGCAGGTTCAAAATTCTATAAGGTTCAGGAGATGCGCACTGTCGATAAATCACACTACAGACGAAACAGTCGTGCAGGATGAAACTATCGCCATAAACGCGGATCGGTCAGGCGCGTATAGTCACGTGCTCTTGAAATATACGCGTGGTAAACGCAAGGTTTTAACAGACTGAGCGCCTCAGCCGATGGTCAAGTGATCAGCTGTTTAGGAAATGCGACAAGTAACTTTATCCACCCGCTACTCTGATATTTCGTAATCAGTGGCAATGTAAAAAAATCTTTCAGCTGTAACACTCTTCCGGTGCCTAGCTACCATGCCACCCGAAGGAAGTACGAGGGTTGGGATACTGCCAGGTTGCTCAAGCCTAGACAGGAGAAGTAGAGAGACAGAGGTCGGGTTCGAACCACGGATCCTCCATTTGAGCCACTCGCCCCCCCCCATTCATAAATAAATACAATTTGCTATCTGAGCTAAAGCCAAATAACTGCCGTACAACCTGTCAGAAGAGTGCCGCTCGTTCCCCGTCTTTGATGGACAAGCGATTCCCGTGTTTCATTTTTCGTCCACACCATTTTGTCTGCTCCCGACACGCAAAAACGTATGTCCGAAAAAAAACAAAGAAGACGAAAACCAACGACAGACAAACCCAGTGATGATGACAGCTGTGCGTTCCCGAGATGTACGGTAGGTTGGCACAGCAGGAGGTGAAGCAGTCGGGTTGCCATCAGTTCCGCCCTTGATCATAACCGTCGTCTAGTAAACCCAGACGCGATGTAAAAGATTCAACAGACAGATTCCTCTGAGATCCGTTGAATGCGATTCACCTACCGTGGAAATTAGTCTGCTATCACCGTACAGGAGCCGCTTCTGAACGCACTGGGGTATATTTTCTGCTGGCCGACGCAGCTCAGGGTTTTCAGCAACCTTGTGAGTAGTATCCTTTGTGAAGTGTTTGTTCGTCATTAGTAGGCTGACTGTCTGAGTTAATTCGCGGCCGGTTAAGGTTGCTGAAAACCCTCCGACAGCCCACGACCGGTTTCTCCTTTTTCGCGGCCTATCAGGTAGACGCAGTCCCCGACAATTCGTCAACCTCATGTTCCACTTGAACCCAAATCGAACTGTTTTCGAGAAATACACTTATTTGTGAATCAATTTGGTTTTCACGAGAGACTCAACTGAATCTCTCGTTCATGATATTCTACAACTGAGTGTGCTACACACAGGCCGCCTCATGATTCAGTTGGCACGATAATCGAGATATCACAAGGTTGCTAAAACCTTCGGCAGTCCACGACCGGTTTCGTCCTTTTTGGGGCAAATGAGTGTATTTTGCTAACTTCGTGCAATCCGGGTTGACGAAAACTCGGGGACCGTCTACCTGATAAGCCTCAAGAAGGGCGGAACCGGTCGCGGGTTGTCGACCTTGTGAGTAGTTTTCTTTGTGAAAATATACTGCGATATCTCGAATATCGTACCAACCGAAACATGAGGCGGCCTGTGTGCAGCACATTCAGTTGAAGGATGTCAGTTGAGTCTCTCGTGAAAAACAAATTGATTTGCAAATGAGTGTATTTGTATTCGGATCTTTGTGGGCTATGTTTAGCAACAAAATCCCAGGACCCAGGAGTTCCGGCCTAAATTCGGCGCGTGTGGTATTAGAAAGACTGAGGCCGTGGCGTATAATACGAAAAATTTCAACTCAAAACAGCGTGGTAAAAAAGGATGACGTAATTCCGGATATCTCATCCCATTACCCTATGTTTTGAGTCGAGAATTTCCACAAGATCCTAAGATGTCCGGTGCCAAACTCCGAAGACCGCATAGACTGTTCTATCCGTTGTTTTGGACTCTCGAACTGTAGTACTGCGGCTCTCTGGTGGTACATTGTCTCAGGCAGACTGAACCAGGGCTCAACTGATTGTACATCAACCACAGCGCAGCCTAGAATAATCACTGTGAATTCGACAGATCACGTGGATAAAAAGTTCAAAAATGGTTTTGAACTGGGAAAGAAGCGGGGAAGACGTCAGTTTTGTCTCACCTTGTCCAGTGGGCGAGATGGCTCAATTGGTTAGAGCGCGAATATTCTGATCAGAAGGTCCGTGGTTCGAACCAGACCTCTGCCTCTCGACTTCCCCTGTCTAGGTTTGGGCAGCATGGCAGTATCCCAGCCCTCGTGCTTCCTCCTGGTGGCATGGCAGCTAGGCACCGGGAGGGTGTTACAGCTAAACCATCTCGATCGATCTCACCTTGTCCAGTGGTACCTGTTCAGATAGTTATGTGGTGGTATGTTGCGGATCGTGTAAATGTGGTCGAACTCCTTTTACAGAGGTACTGACCTCTTGGAGACAGCAAAATTGCTACTCTTATGCAGAACATTAGGTTCCCATATGAATGTTTCCGAAGCAAACAAAGCGTGATCTATTGATGTTATCATGGGGATTGCGCGGTTGTAACGGGGCGACAGTGAAAATAAAGGCTCTCCGCGCCGTCGATTGCATGCAAATCATTTTTTTTCAAGAAAGTAACAAGACCAGGGTTGCCCACAGATTAAACTGGGGACCAGATAAACTTTGGTTGGAAAGTTCTGCTGTCAACATGCATCGGTAGACGAACGACGCAAGAAGCATGCAATCCGACACCCGACGCAGCAATGGCAGGTAAGTTAACGGCTGAAACTTCCGCGGTGTCGATCGCCCGTTTGGTCAGTCACAATAAACAACTAATCCGACGAGAAGACTTTCGTTACTTCGGAGGGGGGGGGTCGATTCCGAAATTCGTCCCCGAGGGCACTCTCGGTCCCAATGGCCAAAATCCTTTGCCCAACTGGAATCAGACGGTAGCAATCAGAAACGAATTTCTCCGGTGTTTTAGCACCAATCTGTCGTTGTCCGCAATCCAAGCAAGTTCAATCCCAGAACATCAAATTTATGAACCCCTAATGCATGGAACTGTACTACTGGGCAGTAATTTACCCAAAAATGCGTCCGTATGTTCTTGGTCATGGGATCATTCACAGAGCCTGAACTTCGGAGAGCCCGATAGGTTTTACATTCATGGATATCACTTAGCACACACTAAATGAGAATATAGTGGGCGAATTTTCATCAATCGATAGACTTCCGCACCTTACTACTCTGATAACAATGGTCACTTGGAACAATTGTTAAACTTTCCCCAGGATGAGGATATGGGTAGCTGTGAACCCCCGGGGAAGGAGAGCTGTCCCCTAGGGGTAATGTTTCACGATGAACCAGGTTCATGGTATCCAAGACCCATGCATGGGTTGAGCCACCAGCTTATGGACCAAAAGTCCCGTGGTTCGAACCCAGTCTCAGCATCTCGACTGCTTTTGTCTAGGCTGCCAATATCCCAGCCCTTGCGTCTCCCTCCGTTGGCATGGTAGTCAGGCATCGAACGAATACTAGAGCTGAATGGATTGGATTTTTACCAATCGAGGTTTGCTAGAACGAGGAGAACAATGCGCCCAGATGCTTCTCTTCATCCGCACCGATGGATCGAAACCGTCTCTTCTGACAACAACGGTCCGCCGTCGATCAACCAATCGTATGTGGTGACCCTACAACTAGATCAGTGCTACTCAAGGCCTGTTCAAGTTGTTCCACTACCAGAACGTTGTACCTCCACCGGTTTGCAGCGTCGCAATCGTAAGCCTACAGCGATGCTCATGGAATCAATGTTTCCTATAGAGGTATGTCGAGATAGCGGAATTACTGACCGGAAAGTCCGTGGTTCGAACCCAACCTCGACATCTCAACCGATCTTATCTAGGCTACCCGGTTCGCGCTTCCATGGGTGGTGTGGCGACGAGGCACCGCAGGATAGCTGGACGACTAGAGATTATAGAGAACTTGGTAACGTGGAGAATTATTCATCCCCAACGGAGACAGATGGCTCGACTTCGAAGGGAGCTACAATACTGACACGACAATGCCCGATAAAATTAAACAACCACCCCATCACCGCAGCGGTGGAGTAAAAAGTCGAGGTCATCAAACGGAAATAAATGAACACAAGTGGCAGAGCGAAACCTCCTGAGTGGCGAAGCAGAAGTGGGGTGACAGACGGGGCGGTTAGAAAGCACATCAACTAGATTGTTCACCAGGGATTTTAATGCAAAGACGAAATTTTTTCCATCTAAAAAACTAGCTACAAAAGAGGCGCCAGAATAGGTTTTTGTGCGATCAAGATAAAAAAACAGTGCAACAGCACAGCCTGATCGCCCTTGGATCGATCAATCCATCGAGTTGAGTCTGACTGACAGTTGGTTTGCCCCCAAAAATCGCGGAGAAAAGCCACGACGAGGTGGAATCTCTTGGGGGATAGGCAAAATACAACGGTAGAGCAAAAGTAAGGATCATCGGTGACTAGTGAATATGTACAAGGAGGGTGATGTTGGCGTACACTCTCAGCACTACCCCGTGAACATGGTTGACTGACTACTGAAACACAAATCCACTCTTTGTAGTGGTGGCTCCGCTACCCCCGCCACCTGCCGATCCAGGAGACCCGGTAGTCGTGTCGGAGGAGTTGGAAGAAGTTGAACCGAACAGGTTGAAAACACCGAAACCGCCGCCAGTACCGCCCGGACCACCTTGGCCACCGTCTTTCGAGCCCGCACTATCAGGGTGTTCCTCCGGGGGAGGCTCTAAAAGCCGGAAGGAAAAGTGGGTGAGGATGAGTGAGCATTCTGTAGTATTGTCACCAGGGGAAGTGTGCAACCATAATTGGAGTAAGCAGTGCATGAGAGATGCATTTTTGATGGCTACATGGATCCCGGCCCACACCAAGCTGTGATGCAAATGAGTCATGATCTGGATACATTCGCCTCGTCGACAAAATCATGTTGACATTGCATCCGAAGCTCCAGACCAACCCATTAAATCGGCGCTCTAACCACTGTGGAACTCGTATGTGACAAAAACTGCGTGAAAAGCTTCGATCCGTGATAGAATGTCGAGAGAGAAACCAATTTTTTCCTACTTGGCATTTGCCGCGGTCAAAGCAACGGTTCCGGAGAACGGAGGCGTGTGCGCATATACCGGAATTTACAAACGACACGGTTCGAAAATCCGCTCGGCAAAAACCCACGACAAACCGAGGACAGAGAAAAACATAACAGCTTCGGAAGACAATACACGTGTACATCACATCGGACAAAGGCCCGTCATCATCATTCAACGCGCGTGCGCCAGCGAACCGTGAATGTTACTCCAATACATGTGAATCGTCGAACAACCGTCTTTTTTTTTGGGGGGGGGAGACAAAAAGACACGTCGCCGCCCCGGTTACATGCGCGCCGAATACAACCTAGCGCCAAAATCCTCAAGTGCGCCAGCACGCACGACCTTGTCCTAGTGCGCATTGCAGGACTACACGCACACACGCACACACACGTGCACCGGAGAGCAGCACTATTGGCAACATTTGTGGAAACGAACCCTCATCCGGTTAGTAATTGTCCACGGCTACATTGTACCTGTCATAGTTGCTAGCTTAACCACCTAACGCCGATGATGGTGGGCGACGAAGAGGAGGGAGTTGATAACATGAGGCTACAAATCGGTGGACAACAAATGAGTGGCGATCGGGACGCCAAACCAGGGTGATTAGGACAGTAGTGACCACAACAACAACAGCGACTGCCATCGAAATGTCCGCCGACAGACTTTGGGGGAATAGCAGATTGAGAATAACAGTAACCGGAATGTGTTGTGGACACGCCTTGTGCAACACACCAAGAAAAATATCGGATGGTTTCGAACATTTTCAAGAGGATTTTACAAGTTGTACAGTAGACAGCTGGATGAATGAATGAGAGACCCCGATTAGAAAACCGGAGAAAGGCGATAGACTTACAGCTTCGCTGTTCTGTTCCATCGGCGCGAAGTTTGCTCACCGACCGCCAGCAGTGTACTAGTTGTCAGTCACTCTCAATAAGCGCGTTGTTGTCGGCGCTGAACGCAAAAACGAAGGGCAAGACAGTGGAACTAAGGATCTTTTGCAGATGAGCTCCGCCACTTTTTGCCAGCTCCAATTTTATGTACGCGCACAACCTTGACATATTTTTGATGAAAACACAATTCCCTATTCGCATCCAGGCTCATTCTCTGTTCGGACCTTAAAATGTAAAACCTTGTAAACCTCTGTAAAACCTTAAATGAACTTTTTGACGCTTTCAACTCTCGTTCATGACAAGGAGACGGCAATACGTTTTTTGCAAAGCCACGGAGTTATCCATCAACAAAGTTTATGCGAGATGGCCAAAGTGGTTAGAGCGCGAATTTACTGATCAGAAGGTCCGTGGTTCGAACCCGACCTCTGCCTCTCGACTTCCCCTGTCTAGGCTTGGGCGACCAGACAGTATCCCAGCCCTCGTGCCTCCTTCGTGTGGCATGGCAGCTAAGCACCGAAAGGGTGCTACAGCTGAACGACTTATGCAACAATGACCACCAAATGACACCTTGAACTGTTTCTGGCAAGTGGAAGTGTAATGCCCGACAGTGTCGGCAAGAAGTCGGTCTTCGAAAGGGAACTTGGCTGGAGCGGTCAAGGATGGAGTTTAGGACAGTAATTCCATTCATTTATTGCTGGCCAAAAATATGGCAAAACACAAATTCTACTCAGAGGAATTATCTATTAGCCACACGACCGCTGTTGACTAGAAGAACTTTCTTCGCGAAGTTTGCCCCTGGCGGCTTTTGCAGACTCCAACAGTTATCGGCGGCCCAGGTCTACACGTC